CAGTGTATATACTCTGAGAGATATGCTCCTCCCAGTGTATATACTCTGAGAGATATGCTCCTCTCAGTGTATATACTCTGATAGATATGCTCCTCTCAGTGTATATACTCTGAGAGACATGCTCCTCCCAGTGTATATACTCTGAGAGACATGCTCCTCTCAGTAGGCAGGTATAATGTTGGTCAGGAAGCAGGGCAAGTATTTCCTGACTCTGGTCTTAGTCACATAACCCACACACTGCTGGAGCTTTTAGTCATCTGACGGAGGACTTCCGCTGGCTTCCCAGTCCACCACTTTTTTTTTTTTTTTTTTTTTATTCGCCGGTACTCTCCCGGCTCGGGTCTTTCCCAAGTAGTGGTGACCCGGCCTTGGCTCCCTATCTGGGGAGTGTCTCGAGACTTAAGTCTCCCATGGGAGGAGGTACAAGTACCCCCTCATCTTTGGGGCCAACTGTCCCCAGGCCTAGCCACATTCCCCGCCCTCACGGGGCTCGCAGGGAGAAGGTAGGCCTCTGGTCTGCCATCTGCCCAGCCCCAAAGGGGCTCGTGGGGATGGCAGTCTTGTGAGCTGCAGGTGGTAGCAAGCTCAGGCTTTTCCACTTTTTTTTTTTTTTTTTATTCGCCGGTACTCTCCCGGTCCGGGTCTTTTCCAAGTAGTGGTGACCCGGCCCGGGTCTTTTCCAAGTAGTGGTGACCCGGCCCGGGTCTTTCCCAAGTAGTGGTGACCCGGCCTTGACTCCCTATCTGGGGAGTATTTCGAGACTTAAGTCTTCCACTTTTACAAACTATATTTATAATTATAAGCAGTGATGACTGACTACATTCCCAGTTTAATTCAAAAGGGACACAAAGACCATAAGAAAAATGCAGTATATTTACTAACAGTAAACACAGATTTCAGTGCTGATATTCCCTTGTAGCACTGACATTATGTTACAGTGTAGCACTTACAGTGTTACAGTGTAATACTGACAGTGTAACATTTACAGTATATAGATAAATGGTTCAGAGAACCGACAAGTTGATAAATTAGACACATGGTCAACACTTGGGTGTCTTTATTGTAGAGACGTTTCGCCCACCAGTGACTTTGTCAGTACAAAACAGAGGAAGCCACTGGTGGGAGAAACGTCTATACAATAAAGATACCCAAGTGTCTTGTTCATCAACTTACAGTGTGGTACAGTGTAACACTTACAGTGTGGTACAGTGTAACACTTACAGTGTGGTACAGTGTAACACTTACAGTGTGGTACAGTGTAACACTTACAGTGTGGTACAGTGTAACACTTACAGTGTGGTACAGTATAACACAGTGTGGTACAGTGTAACAGTTTTAAACTGTAACACTTAGTGTGGTACAGTGTAACACTGACTGTTTTACACTGTAACACAGTGTGGTACTGTGTAACACTTAGTGTAGTACAGTATAACACTGTCTTACACTGTAACACTTACAGTGTGGTACAGTGTAACAGCATACCACAGTGTCATACAGTGTTCCTCTGATATAACTAAGAATTCCATTACATTTACTACAATAATTATAATTACATTCAGTGTAATTCACTCTATCATTATCATCATCATCATTATCATCATTATCATCATTATCATTATCATCATCATCATTATCATCATTATCATCATTATCATCATCATTATCATTATTATTATCATCATCATCATTATCATTATCATTATCATCATTATCATCATCATTATCATCATTATCATCATCATTATCATTATCATTATCATCATTATAATTATCATTATCATTATCATCATTATCATTATCATCATTATCATTATCATCATTATCATTATCATTATCATCATCATCATTATCATTATCATTATCATCATTATCATTATCATTATCATTATCATTATCATCATTATCATCATCATTATCATTATCATTATCATCATTATCATCATTATCATCATTATCATCATTATCATCATTATCATTATCATCATTATCATCATCATCATTATCATCATTATCATCATTATCATTATCATTATCATCATCATCATTATCATTATCATCATCATTATCATTATTATTATCATCACTATCATCATTATCATCATTATCATTATCATCATCATCATCATTATCATCATTATCATTCCAACAAATCTTTGATAAGTTGTAAATATACCTAACTTATAACTAACTTATACCTAACTTATAACTAACTTATAACTAACTTATACCTAACTTATAACTAACTTATAACTAACTTATAACTTCTATATTAATACAAAAACACATTAAAATAAGTGATAATTGTATTGTTTATGTAAATGATGTAGCCAGTGTTGTGTCTTAATGTTTGTAACACAATTTGGAACACAATTTGGAACACAATTTGCAGCACAATTTGCAACACAATTTGGAACACAATTTGCAGCACAATTTGCAACACAATTTGGAACACAATTTGGAACACAATTTAGAACACAATTTGCAACACAATTTGGAACAC